CCGCTCATTTCAACAAGAGATTGACTCCACGTAGTCCATATTTTACACCCGTCACTCAGGACACACTTCCTCGCTTTAGGTAGCCTCTGCCAGGCATCGGGAGGCGACTGAAAAGAGTAGAAATCGGCCAAATAGAGAGATAACATGCCAGGGGAATTTGGCTGCTGGGGAGAACAGTCTGCCGGGTATTGGACCGATTTCTACTGTTTTCAGCCGCCTCCCGAAGCCTGGTAGAGGCTACGCTTTAGGTACATATGTTTGTGCGCGTGTGACCACTTAAACCACCAAAATGCTTTATTTGGGGCGAGCTGTTTTCAATGGAATGCTGAAGTGTTAAAAAATGGTACTCTCCAAGCAGAGGTTTTGGTTAAAAATTCCAAACCCCGAAAAAAAGCCTACAAATACGTCAAAACCCAAACCTCTGCTTGGAGAGTAGAAAAAGGGCAGCAGTAGAGAAAGAAAACTATTTAAACTGTGGAAAACTATGGAAACTTAGAAGTCTGGATGGAGCAAGAGGTGTACAATGTATATCTAAAGGGAATCCACAGAATAATCAGTCGATGTTTCGCTGTACTTACATTATTGATATTACTTTTCTCGCCATAGAATACACTGAATACAGGTAGACGCTTTATGTGTCGGCCAGAGAAACGCAAATTACTTGTCGATCGATACAATCGTTCATGGATAGTTGTACTACACGATTTTGCTAGTTTGGGAAGAGTGTAGATGAAAACAACTGATCTGCAATACGTTGATAAAACTTTCCAGACAGAAAATAGCGTCATGTTGCAAAACAACATGCCAGCAGAGAACTCTGCCACTATACGTGTAGCCTCTTTCGCAGGCGTGGAACGGCGGCGTTTTTTTTGGGTGCGAGAGCTGATACGCGATTTTTTTCCCGCGGGCTTAAGGTTGTCTCATGCAGAAGGAAACTCCCTCCGCAGCATAACTTCCTCTGCCGCATTAGAGAACCTTAGCCAGTGTAAAAAATCGTGTATCAGCGCTGCTATTTTGCCCCCCCCCCCAAAATAAAGTGAACTCCACCGCTCCAAAAAGTCTGCGAATAATAGCCTCTACCAGGCTTCGGGAGGCGGCTGGAGAGAGTAGAAATCGCCAAATAGAGAGATAGCATGCCAGAGGAGTTGCAAACTGTTCTCTCCGGCAGACCAACTCCCCTGGTATGCTATCTCTCTATTTGGCCGGTTTCTACTTTTTCCACCCGCTTTCCGAAGCCTAGTAAAGGCTATGCGAATGAGGCTATGTACCGTACATGTATGTTTTCACGAACATTTGCCGGAAGTGCGTCTGCTGCTTCCATATTCCCCATATACTGCTGCGATTACATCTAATAACTGCGTTTTGATTGTGCTATTGTTCCTTTCTCCACGGCAATCCAACAATGGACCCCTCTGCCATTGTCCCGGGTTTTGTGCTCCCATCACCGCCACTCTCCGCCGCTTTGTGCGGGGTCCTACTAATAATGTCCTTGGTTCTACCGAAAAAAATCGTTTAATTGCGGTCTTAGAAATCGGCCGGTCCTTATTGATCAGCAATTCCTGTAAATTAACTTAATGGCTTTTCGTAATTACTTTGTGTTTTGTTTTATTGGACAAGATAGTTTAAGGCGCACTCGCTGGAGGGCATGTACATGTGGCGGGTGCTTGACCACTGCCTTTTTTTTATTTGCAATTCAACATTGATAATACAGGACATGGTGGTGAGGTACTCTAGTTATAGCTAATTTTAACCTCATCACCAAATATACAAAACAAAGGTCCACCGCCATCTCCTGACATAGCTACAATATACTCCCTTACCTCTAGCTCTATGCCTAGAAGTGGCCAAATATAATTGGCCTTGCATTGAGTGATACCGTTAAAAAAATACAACTATACAGTGACAAAAAATACATGACAAAAAACAACAGAGAACAGCAAATGGGTGGAAATGGATCAATAAATGGTAAGGAAGAACATGTTTGCAGGCTATGTAGGCTAATACAAACCGTTTAGAATCAATAACGTAAGATTGTCAAAATGTTGCATTTTGTATCTGGGTGGAAATCGGGTGATCCTCTAAGTAAAATGTTACATAAGAATTGTTCGGACATGTTATGTACATCAAAGGTAGAGCCCGTTTTTAATTGGGGTATAACAAAATCAAAAAGGAGTGAAAACTAGACAAGAGAGACAGGAGGTTTTTTAACTATTTCATTTTTTTAAAAACTTTTCGACGTGACTGAGACATAGACAAAGGAAGGGGTCTATGTAATAGAAATAGAAAGCGTAATAGAAAAAGGATGTGCCAAGCTACCCACTACAGGTTACTGTCCAAGTGCTCCCACCAACCCACTCCTACCAAGCTCTGTAGATTGCTGAGTAGGGTGACCACTGCATTCATATCGTAACACCGGTACCTACTTAGATTCACCTTAAATCGCTATATTTACGGCTAAAATCAATACCATAAACTGCAACCTTTGTTGTGTCTACGGTCCAGTAGCATCAAAGTACTGCTACTAGTACTTAATACATCTTTAAACATGTTATGTGTGTTAACGGGCTTCCGTGGTTAAAAAGCGGATGGTGGCCCGAGAAGAAGAAGAAGACTTATATCATTGTGATTCATCCAAACCAGACTGTTAACGTTACCTTGTGGTGATGTGAGATTGCTTCGCCTAATATAGAAAATATATATATATATATATTCCTCAGTATAGTGAGGTTTCGCTCCAAATATCGTAACTTTCATCGCCCAGACAGACGCCCCTCGATGCACTATCTCTGGACTCGTATCTGCACATTTATAAAGTCTTCCTCTAATGAGGACATGCGGTGTGGGGTAGAGTTTCATCTGGAAGATCATAGTTTTAGTTACAGAAGTGGAGAACAACGTTCCGAGTTAGTCTCTACCAGGCTCTTTTGCAGGCTGAATAAATACTAGTAGTAGAAATCGACCTAAGAAGGAATATATAGATGGCCAAGTTGAGTTAGCCGGCCATAGAGGGTCCCAATTGTACCCTCTATTGCCTGCTAACTCCCCCTGGCCAGCTACATTCATCTTTAGGTCGACTTCTACTATTTATTCAGCCTGCAAGTCTCCACCAGACTCTTTTGCAGGCTGAATGAATGGTAGAAAAGGGCCTAAAAAGAATGTAGCTGGCCAGGGGAGTTGGCCGGCCATAGAGGTCCCAGTTTGCCTGCATAGACAAGTAGATTTTTGCTATTTATTCAACCTGCAAAGGAGTCTGGTGGAGACCAACATTAGGTACATATGTGTGCGTGTGCGTGTCTCATCTTTAAACATAAAAGCTCGTTGTGGCAACCTACTTTCAATGGAGCTCCCCTTGGCTGGCTACATTCTTGTTTATTCCGATCTGTGCTATTTATTCAGGCTGCAAAGGTGACTGGTAGAGCCTATACTTCCGATTAGCCTCTACCAGGCTTCGGGAGGCGGCCGGAAGAGTAGATATCGGCCAAACAGAGAGACAGCATGCCAAGGGAGTTTGGACCTGGAGAGAACAGTTTGCCGCTCCCTTTGCATGCTGTCTCTCTATTTTGGCCGATTTCTACACTTTCCAGCCGCCTCCCGAAGCCTGGTAGAGGCTACCCAGTTCCGAGCACCGGGAAGCCGGTCTGGCACGCCGACCCGCCGCACGCACGCCGGCGGGGGTGGGGCCGCCCTCCTGCCGAGGAGGGCAGGGCAGCGCTGCGGGGATAAGCTAACGATGTCACGGAAGTCACGCGCGCAGCACACCCTCTTTCTCTCCGCGTTTCCTCGCCCACAACGCGACTCCCTAATTGGGCTTTAACGTGATTATTTGTTGCGATAGCACTTCTAATTCGACATGACTTCTACCCACAGCATTTGGTTTCTTTCTAATCTAATATATACGAGCCGGGCTCCGAACTGAAAGTCTCCCGTTGGGTGTTTAATCCATGGTTAATTGGAGAACGCGCGCGACTTAGGGCACCAGCAGGGATCCAATTGGCAAGCTTGTCTGGGTGGAAGGAGTGAAGCCTTCTGCTAAGAGTTACATCAATCTGTCCATTTGCCTGGTACAAGCACTGCGACAACGTTGATGGAAAAGGGCAAAATGCAGTTCAACAATCACTGCTTTTCAAGTTCATATCTGGGTTTATCTCAGGCAAGGACAGAGTTTGCAGAAGACATCTAGAACAAACAGTGAAATTGATCATGTGTTTTCATTACATTTTCTTCTGTTTGTCTTTTAACATTGATGAGAAGAAGCCATGCTATGTCAACAAAGTGCATCATTATGTCTTTAATAAAATTGTCAACTTGTTAAGTTTGACTGTTGTGACTAGGACACATTTCTTACGCCTCGACAGTCTATGGAATTAATAATTGCCAAATTTATATCTGTATGCAACTTGATATTATTCAAGAATTATGAAACATGGCAGTCGTCTGGTCTGGCTTCCGTCTCTCAGCGGTAGAACCTAGTCTCCACCAGACTCTTTTGCAGGTTGAATATATAGTAGAAAATTCAGGCAAACTGGACCCTCTATGGCCGGCCAACGTCGCTGACCAGCTACATGGCTGGGGAGTTGGCCAGCCATAGAGGGTCCAGTTCTATGCAGGTAAATTGGCCAGCTACATTCGTTTTAGGCCGACTTCTACTATTTATCTAGCCTGCAAAAGAGTCTGGTGGAGACTAGGTAGAACCTACACCAACTGTGGTGACTACAGGAGCAGGACAAGACCCCCTCCCTCCCCACCAGGCCCGTCTCCCTGCTGCTGTCCTTCCGCTTCCTGATCGATACGGTCTCGATACGAAACACTGTCGGGTCATCTGTAAAACTGCATTCACATCTGCTCAATGGTTCCTTGATTGCGCATTGCTGCCCATTTGTTCGCCCTTCTCTCCCCACGTCTGGTATTTAACATTAGCCTCACGACGCGGGGACAGACCGCCCTACGCTCTGCTAGAGCGCGCACACACGGGAAAGGTGCTATAGGGTTACGACAACGCAAACAGGGGATCTCTTAAGTAGACAGTGTATGAAAACGCCGTTAGTGTGTTGCAAGTATAGCCTCCACCAGGCCTTCTTACAGGGGCAAGGATCATAGAATTGGAGACAAAAAGGGAAATATTACTATAATTCGCCGGGAGAGCAGTGCGACCGCGGAAGGGTGGCTTACTCTGACTCACTTGGTGGAATATTCTCCATCTTTTTTGCTAAATTTGACTGATTTTGAGCCCGCGTTGTTGTTGTAATGTTAGTCTGCTGGAGAGACTACTGCGTGTTGCACGTTGGGTGTGTATTTAGCCCTACTCTAACCCGTGCCGCCCCACGCTGATACGGAGTGGTCGTGATTAACCCAACCCCCGCCTCCCGGGGCCCATGATTGTGGCGTGATTGGCACGGCCGGGTATTGATATTTCTATTAGTTCATAATTAGTTGATGGTAATTAGGCCGTCAGACGAGAGCTAATTATTCGAGCTGGGCGCAGCCCGCAGGTTAAGGCGCTAATCAGGAGGACTCATCAGTGCGGAGTATAATAAGGCAGAGTGCGGACACACACACACACACACACGAGAGAGAGAGAGGCGCACAACTTTCACTGTTGTTGGATAGACAGACGGACCATGACGGGAAAGACTACCGTAGAGACCCAGCCCCGCGTCTCGGGACCGCAGGCCACCCAGCCCCGCAGAACGCCCGCCGCCGGCACGGTGATGAGGAGCCCGTTCGCCATCCAGGAGCTGCTGGGCCTCGGGAAGGGGGACGAGCCGTCGGACAGGGGGAAACCGCCGCGCACGCCCGTCCCCGCCACCGTCCACGTGTCCCTGCCCCAGCCGGCGTTCGTCTTCACGCGATCGCCCTTCCTCCCTCCCATCCACGCGCCGGTTTCCCTGGCACACAAGCTGGATCAGCAGCTACTGGAGGCGCAGATACAAGGTACGTGCTTTCTCTCTATCTCTCTTACATAAACGCACGCACACACACACGGTGACACACACACACGCACACACATATACACATACATACACACACACATACATACAAACACACACACACACACACACACACACACACACACACACACACGGTGACACACACGGTGACACACACATCCACACGCGCACACACACTCACTCACTCACTCACTCACTCACTCACTCACGAACACACTCCCTCTCTACTCTCTCTCACACACGAACACAGACTAGACACACACACACACACACACACACACACACACACACACACACACACACACTCCCTGCCTCCCTGTCACACACACACATACAGTCTCTATGGTTCTCCTGAGATGTGACTAGTTACAGATGTGTTGTTTTATAACGGGAGGTGGTGTGTCTTCTACTGATCCCCAAGGTCGGGTCGTCAACACTACTTCCTCATATCTGAACGATCCTTCAGTGAGTCATATATGAGGTGTGGTATACAGCTTTAGTTTGGTGCTTAGCAGTATATTCCTGATGTATGTTACCGGCACCCACTGTCCAAGGCCACGATGATGTACGCTGAGAATGTTTTACAGCAGGGTGTATCCACACAGAAGAGGGCGCGCCTCTTAAATGTCAGCGCACGTCCACGGAATGAAATCATTTCTCCCTGTGTCTGTCTCCATTGACTGACGTGTATATGTTGGACACATATAGGACACGCTGCCAATGTCTTAACAGGCAAACCATTGAAAAATATAGAACGTCATCAAAAGCTATGCTTGACGCAAAATCAGTTTTGCACACATTTAGGATACATGGCGACAATTCTTACTTCTTGTGGCAATAAGTTGGTAGGCTATCGCAAGTCAATGTCTATCATATGGGCTATGGAATTTACTGACCATCAATTTTGATGCCTCATCTGGTGTGAAGTAGACAGATCTGTGGGACGTTTTTATTCTATTCTACTAGATAAGCTTGACTTGTCTGTGTGGTTTACCTATCGTCTCGTCCATAACATAGCATCTTCTTTAATTTAGTGTAAAAAGTTTAGTCCGTTCTCTGTTGAGATAATATCTACATGTGAGGACAGACACACCTGCTATCTAATGGACTGTCCTAACTTCTCCACTAGGGTCTTAGATTGGAGCAATCAGCCGATGGGTACATTATTATCGTGATTAGTAGTATTGTTTTTTCCTTTACACATTGATTACTAAATCAATCCACTGAAACAACATCTATAACGAGCAGCGTTCTGGTGATTAAGTAACACAATGATGTCATTGTCAACACGTTTTTGTAGTAATAATGAGTGAAATGACATTTAGCAAATTCTGCTATTGTTTTCCTTTCGTGTAAATCATACAACAATGCAAGACACTTGCCAGTTTATTAGTGTGTTGTTCTTCGTTGATGCAAGGTAATAAACATACACCATCTTTAAATTTATTGACACAACAACAGTACAGCGACTTTCGTAAGGTCTACTACAACTATACTTGCAAACAAGTGGATGCAAATGATTTAACGTGCGTACACGTACATGAACATGTATTATGTAGCTTTATATAGTAGTATTCAGTTGCGTTGTTGAGAATGTTGGTAAACGCAAGTCAACCAGACACCGAACTTTCGTACGCTTCCTAAATTTACTACTCTTCAAAGTCAACACCAAACATTGATCCATTGATCCGTTAGTATCGACACTTGTGTCTCCGACATGCCGTTAACAAGCTATGGGCTGTGTTATTACTCTGGAGCCAGCGCGTTGTCCTGATTTCTCACAACGCTCGTTGTACAGACCTAATCATGCCAGCACTGTCTCTACCAGAACTACAAGCGTCGTAAAACAACAACCCGTCAAGTCGTATCCCTGCCGATACCGGAACAGAAATACTCATTTCCGATCGACTATATTATCACACCTCCTTTTTACAAAGGCAGCAATTTCAAACATAACATAAGCAAGCTATTCGTTCAGTACATTCGTCCTTTTTGTTTATGGACGGTGTCTGTGACAGTGGATATTAAGGCGTCCAATTCGGACATTTGTCTGGGGATAGTTTCTACCACAAGAATTCATGTGGACAATAGCTGTGCTCCCCTGCCAGACACTAGGAAAGTCTGATGTTATTTGGTGGTGAGTTTTGTTGCTTATTGATATACACTCTCACGTTTGATATCGTGCCATCAAACTAGACGTTATTATCGAGCTAACGGGTCGGAAGGTCTCGCCTTCTGCTCAATTTGCTAATTTCATTTCGACTTTTCTCGGTCGGCAGTCTCGGACAATAGCCGGGCGATAACACCTTAATGTTCCCGCTCCTCGGGGGGAACACACTCGGTGGGACGGCATCCTAGGTTCGGCTGCAGTGTCTCGTGCTGTATCTAGTCTCCTCCAGACTCCTTTGCAGGCAGAATAAATAGTAGAAATAGGCCTAAAAAAGAATGTAGCTGGCCATGCGAGTTGGCCAGCCATAGAGGGTCCAGTTTGCCTGTGGCCGGCTACATTCTAGTGGGCCGATTTCTACTATTTATTCAGTCTGCAAAGGAGTCTGCTGGAGGCTATGTTGTACTACAACCGGACCTATCTATTTCGATGCCTGAATGGGTTAGGGTTAGGACTCAGGCACGGTTATTGATAGTCAACGCGTATCCAGAATCGTGCCTGGGGCATGCCTAAGTTCTTTGATACTCGTATTTATTTCGAAGACTGTGTCAAAATTGTCTACGTCTCGTTATTGTCTTGTCAAGGGAATGAGAAACAAAAGGAAGGATGACAGTTCGTACAAAAATGTAAGGTCTTCCGTCTTGACCGACCTGGTCCATTCTCTTCTCGAACAGAGTAAAATGTTTGTTTTCGTGGGGCTAGTCGCAGTTTTGTAATGGGTTGATGGTTGATTCAGATTTACCTGCTTGGCTACGGCCGCCAGCTCAAAAATCAGTTCTACGTGTTTTCTGTTGTCTGAGAATGGAGGACATGACCGAATAAACGATAGCAAACACCCCAAGTCACTGTCAGTGACCAAGTCTTAGGCATTTATCGCGGAAAAGTGATAGAGTTTGAGGAATGTACATGTACATCAAAATTGTCTTCTAGATTCCACTTCCACATTTCCAAATCTTAAACTATGGAACGGGAAAACAGAAAAAATTCAGAAAGTGTATCCTTGTATCGTCACCACTGTGTTTCCAGACTTCTTCCAGTTTTACTGCTCTGATGATTCCTTTCATTTCGAATCCGTCCGCCTCAAAGTGGCCATCCATTGTACGTAAGTTTTATCGTGGATTCTGTCCCTGTTTCACTCGCCCAACCTGGTCGTAAGGTAGTCTCCACCAGACTCATTTGCAGGCTAAATAAATAGTACAAAATCGGCCTAAAAAGAATGTAGCTGGCCAGGCCATGGACGGTCCAGTTTACCTGCATAGACTAGTTTTATCGTCTATTCTGTCCCTGTTCCACTTGCCCAACCTGGTCGTAATGAGCCAGGAAAACAAGAAGAAGTGTATCATCCTTGTATCATCACTAGTGTGGTTCTAGACCTGTTTTAGTTTTGTTTCATTTCGAATCCGTGCGCCTCAAAGTTTCCATCCATTGTATGTAAGTTTTATCGTGCATTCTGTCCCTGTTCCACTCGCCCAGCCTGGCCGTAATGAGCCTTTTCACGGTAGACAGCGGGCCAGAATTAATCCAGGTCTCCCTTTCTTCCGCGGGGCCCGCGGTTATTACGGACCGGGCCGGACCCATTGTTGCTCCAGCCCGGCTGATGTCCATATTTCCCCCGGGCGAGCCGCGTGATGGCTAATTGGAACATTGCTACATTACCCGTGAATAGCAACATTGTGACATTACGGCGGTACATTGCTACATTAGCCGCGATAAACGGCTGCCGGGTCCCCGGGCGTGCCGGGGCATTATTACACAGGTGTTAATTGTTATGGAAGTCCTTTTTTAGTGTGTGAAGACTTGCGGAGATCAGCCGTATGTTCGTCAGAACGATTAGTTCTAGATTTGTGCTTTACATTAGAATATGTTACAGTCCTCTAGCTGGTGAAATAGTCAGTCATCCATCTTCTACCATCAATCATTCTATCCATCAATCCATCAATCCGTCCATCCACACTCCCCTACATCCATCCACCCGTCCATGCAGTTGATCTCTAAATCTTGTTTCCACCAAAAGTGAATGAATTATGAATTTAAAGTTGCTGGAAAAGGACAGTGACTGGTAACGTCTGCCGATTGGCTGTCGGTAGTCGCGTGTCAGTATTGTAACGCGTCGACAAAAAATGTTCATAACGACCAGGTTGGACAAGTGAAACGTAACAGGGACAGAATCCACGATAAAACTTACTTTGACAGGGGTCTCCCCATAAATTCTGAGGGGAGAGGTGCTCCCTAATCGGTTGATGAAAAATCAGCGAATTTTCATGTAAATACTAAGGAAGACCCTAAAATTGACTGGACATTTTGGGAGTGGTTCTAGGATTTTGGAAAGAGGGGGAGTACCCATGCTCCATTGCTTGGGGAGAGTCCTGTTTCAGGTGGAGGTTGGAAATGAAAGAATTATGAATTTTAATTGTTGGAAAAGGACAGTGACGGGTAACGTCTGTCCATTGGCTATCACTGGTCGCGTGTCAGTACTAACTGCACCCAGGAATTAACCATTGGTAACAGGTTTCCGCTGGAAACTGGGCTTAGTTGGTGGCCGACTGTGGCTGTCAACAAATGACTGTAACCTGTCGGAACGAAGGTTCGACGTCAAATGTCAAACACCTCATTAAACTGCGGGTAAATGCTAAACTGCACTTTATTCTTAGAGGCTCCTCAATGCTACCCTCTATGTACAACTTTAAAACGATGCAACTCACTCAGGTTTACATTAGAGATACCAAGCGCTTCTAGCTCTGCTTGACACTGTCCTTGTTATGTTTTTATGTTTTGATGAATAAAAGAAACATAAAAACTGCGGGTAGGAGGGGCAG